CGCCACCCTCCCTCAGCATTTCGCTTGGGAGATCATCTCTGCCCGGTGCCTTCCCTGGTCTCAGACTCCGGATCGCCCTCAGTACTTCCTCAACAGCTGGAACCTCAGCCAGCCACTCACAGGGGGTGACCTCTTCCAATATTTGAGGCACCGCAGCCTCAGCAGGGTTATCCCCACTTTGTGCCATGATGTTTTCCTGGCTGAGAGAATTTCCCTCCCCCAGGACCTCACAGAAATGCTCAGCAAATCTGCAAACCTGTTCCTGGGGGTCGGAGATTGGATCACCGTTTTTTCCTCTAATGATGGTAATAGGTGTGGCGCTGCAGGTTACTTTTTTGATGGAGTTAAATAGTGATTTGTGATCACGGGCCACTGAGGCAGACTCCATCTCCTCAGCAACCCGCGACCACCACCCATCCTTACAACGCCTTACGGCTCTCCGAACTTCCGAGCGAAGGCTGCGGTAAACCTCCTCATTCTCTGACGTGGGATGCTGTAGGCGATGAGAGTGGGCCTGTCGCTTTTTCTCAATTAACCTGAACACCTCCTCTGTCAGCCAGGGTTTCTGGGGAGGTCTGGACCGCGTACCCAAAGCAGCCATTGCAGCTGCATGAGTCACAGTCCTAAACCTCGCCCATTTACCCTCGACATCAGGTGGAGTGGGGGACGATGCCAACCCCAGCTGCAAGCGATGATGAAATTCTCGCTTGCAACTTTCATCAGCTAACTGAGACCAGGCCACTTTTGGTTGGAATGGGATCCTGGGTGTACACCCACCACCGGAGTGGAAGAAAGGCAGGCGCATCTTACAGATGACTAGTCGATGGTCAGAGGACAGATCAGCTCCACGGTAGGTCCTGGTGTCAAGGACATGGGTTCGCATCCGCTGGTCCGTCACACACACACGCACATACACACACACGCGCATACACACACACGCACATACACACACACGCACATAAACACACACACACGCGCGCACTCGCACCCCGCTGCAGTCACTCAAACTCCGGGCACTTTGCAAAGACGAAGAGGCGGCTTGAGAGGCATTTCAAGCGCGGCGCTCCCTCGACCCAGGGAAACATTTGGAGTTGCATTCGCTCTGCGTGGACAGGGGCGAAATATCCAGCGGCGTAAAGCCACTCGCACAAAATGTGCCCCCCCCCCCTGCCCCCACCTCGTGTCGCCTGCAACAGGCTGTGTGATGTTAGCGGGCAGCACAGACGAAGGGCAGGAAGGGCACACGAGTGGTCGGGTGCGTGGGTGGACAGCGCCGCGCCCGGCCGCCTTTGTCTCCACACGGCACCAGGTACTTATTTGAGGCTGAGTCGACCCACACACGGAAGTTCACGTGGTGACTCGTGGCCAGGTGGCTGAGCGAGCGGCTCGCAATTGGAAGGGTTTGTGGGTTTTAACTCAGCCCATGATCCCTCTGGGGTTTCAAAAAAAAGGTGGTACCACCAACAGCGGTTGTTCTATGGTTAGGCTTCCGCCTGCCAGAGGAATGTGGAGTTTCCACCTCTTACTCAGGATGAGCACGAATGCCGTAATGCTCGCCCGAGCTAAAGGAGGTCACTGACTTTTTCGTGGCTCACAGTCACATGTATTTAATGACACGCTCTTGCTCACGCACACACACAAACCCACCCAGGCACTTACAATCAAACACACACACAGTGACAATCACAAACATGCACATGCTCACACACACACCGAGGCACTTACAATCAAACACAGAGTGACAATCACAAACATGCACATGCTCACACACACACTCAGGCACTTACAATCAAACACACACACAGTGACAATCACAAACATGCACATGCTCACACAATCATGCATAGAGGCTAATCTTGACACCGCTGCTACCAGTCATCTGCAAGTCCAATCAGCTCCGTCACATCCTCCTCGACCACATGAGCCCATCTCTTCTCTAGTCAGTGCGGCGCTTGTTTAGCCCCCCCCCCCATCCAGCCAAACACACACACACCTAGACACACTAACACACTCACACACTCACACACTCACTCACATGTGTGCTCTCTCACGTTCACACACTCACACACACTCACACACTCACTCACACACTCACACACTCAATCACACACTCACTCACACACACTCACTCACATGTGTGCTCTCTCACACTCACACACTAACACACACTCACACACTCACTCACACACTCACACACTCACTCACACACTCACTCACACACTCACACACACTCACTAACATGTGTGCTCTCTCACACTCACATACTCACACTCACACACACACTCACACACTCACTCACATGTGTGCTCTCTCACACTCACACACTCACACACACTCACACACTCACTCACACACTAACACACTAACACACACTCACACACTAACACTCACTCACATGTGTGCTCACTCACACACACACTCACATGTGTGCTCTCTCACACTCACACACTAACACACACTCACACACTCACTCACACACTCACACACTCACTCACACACTCACACACTCACTCACATGTGTGCTCTCTCACACTCACACACACTCACACACTCACTCACACACTCACACACACTCACTCACATGTGTGCTCTCTCACATTCACACACTCACACACACTCACACACTCACTCACACACTCACACACTCACTCACACACTCACTCACACACTCACACACACTCACTCACATGTGTGCTCTCTCACACTCACACACTAACACTCACTCACACACTTACTCACACACTCACTCACATGTGTGCTCTCTCACATTCACACACTCACACACACTCACACACTCACTCACACACTAACACACTAACACACACTCACACACTAACACTCACTCACATGTGTGCTCACTCACACACTCACATGTGTGCTCTCTCACATTCACACACTAACACTCACTCATACACTCACTCACACACTCACTCACACCCTCACACACTAACACACACTCACACACTAACACACACTCACACACTCACTCACACACTCACACACACTCACAAACTCAATCACACACTCACTCACGCACTCACATGTGTGCTCTCTCACACTCACACACTAACACTCACACACTCACACACTCACTCACACACACTCACACACTCACTCACACACGCACTCTCTCACACTCTCACACACTAGCACACATTCACTCACACCCTCACACACTAACACACACTCACACACTCACTCTCACTCACACACACTCACACACTCAATCACACACTCACTCACGCACTCACATGTGTGCTCTCTCACACTCACACACTAACACTCACACACTCACACACTCACTCACACACACTCACACACTCACTCACACACGCACTCTCTCACACTCTCACACACTAGCACACATTCACTCACACCCTCACACACTAACACACACTCACACACTCACTCTCACTCACACACTCACACACACTCACACACTCAATCACACACTCACTCACGCACTCACATGTGTGCTCTCTCACACTCACACACTAACACGCACACTCACACACTCACACACACTCACACACACTCACACACACTCACACACACGCTCTCTCACACTCTCACACTAACACACACTAACACGCACACTCACACACTCACACACACTAACACTGACTCACACACGCGCTCTCTCACACTCTCACACTAACACACACTAACACGCACACTCACACACTCACACACACTAACACTCACTCACACACGCGCTCTCTCACACTCACACACTAACACGCACACTCACACACTCACACACACTAACACTCACTCACACACACGCTCTCTCACACTCGCACACTAACACGCACACTCACACACTCACACACACTAACACTCACTCACACACGCGCTCTCTCACACTCTCACACTAACACACACTAACACGCACACTCACACACTCACACACACTCACACACATGCTCTCTCACACTCTCACACTAACACACACTAACACGCACACTCACACACTCACACACACTAACACTCACTCACACACGCGCTCTCTCACACTCTCACACTAACACACACTAACACGCACACTCACACACTCACACACACTAACACTCACTCACACACGCGCTCTCTCACACTCTCACACTAACACACACTAACACGCACACTCACACACTCACACACACTAACACTCACACACTCACACACGCGCTCTCTCACACTCTCACACTAACACACACTAACACTCACACACTCACACACGCGCTCTCTCACACTCTCACACTAACACACACTAACACGCACACACTCACACACGCGCTCTCTCACACTCACGTGAATGCCGTCCACACAGCGTGTTTGCTCTGCACCCTCAAGCTCCGCTGAGCAGCAGGCCGACTCGTTAAGCCAATTAACTCATTAATTAGGAAAATCAAATCCGCCTAATTTGTGCAATTCAAGCTAACAGTCCGATAGAAGCGTCACCCCCAACATTCCAGGTTGGAGCGGTGGGGGATGGTGGTGGGGGGGGGGAATAGTGGGGGGGGGTTGTGGTGATTGGTTTGGTTGTGGTGGTTGTTTGGTTGTGGTGGTTGCTTTGGTTGTGGTATTTGCTTTGGTTGTGGTGGTTGTTTGGTTGTGGTGGTTGTTTGGTTGTGGTATTTGTTTTGGTTGTGGTGGTTGTTTGGTTGTGGTGGTTGTTTTGGTTGTGGTGGTTGGTTTGGTTGTGGTATTTGTTTTGGTTGTGGTGGTTGTTTGGTTGTGGTGGTTGTTTTGGTTGTGGTATTTGCTTTGGTTGTGGTGGTTGCTTTGGCCACCACCGTCCCCGCAGCGGCGCCGCCCACCATTCCCCCTTTGGTCGCTCCGACCCAACAGACGTACTTGGCCCTGCCACGGGCTCGTGGACTTTCCCCCACCAACCCAAACACGGAACCACTGGCCCCCCCAACGCTCGCGTCGACCCACCCACCCACCCACCCACCCCGCACCGCCGCGAATCGGCGCACCGACATCACGCCGTCGGCGTGTGACCGCCGAGGCACCTTGATCATCTGCGCCACGTAGCTCTCGGGCCCCGTGTACTCCGTGGGGTCCTTCACTTTGACGAGGACGATGAAGAAGAGGTAGTGCCACATGTTGTGCTCGTCCTTGATGTGCTCCTCGAACGACACCGTCTTGTTGTCGAACTTGTCTCGTTCCAGGCCTGGGGTGGCGGCGGCGAGGGAGGGGGGGGCGAGGGGGGCGAGGGGGGGGGGGCGGGGGGGGCGGGAGGGGAGGGTACGGGGCGGACATCGTCATCATCATCGTAATTGCCAGTCTCGTCATCGTCGTCATCGTCATTCTCTCTCATCGCCAGTCTCATCATCGTCGTCGTGATTCATCATCATCATTATCAATGTCATCATCATCATCGTTGTCATCGTCGTTATCATCGTCAGTCTCATCATCGTCGTCATTCTCTCTCATCGCTAGTTTCATCATCGTGATTCGTCATCATCATCGTCGTTGTCATCGCCAGCCTCATCATCGTCTTCATGATTAATCGTCATCAACATTATCATCGTCATCATCATCATCGTCGTCGTTGTCATCGTCAGTCTCATCATTATCGTGGTTGTAATCGTCAGTCTCATCATCATCACCATCATCATCATCGTTATCATCATCGTCGTTGTCATCGCCAGCCTCATCATCGCCTTCATGATTCATCGTCATCAACATTATCATTGTCATCATCATCATCGTCGTCGTTGTCATCGTCAGTCTCATCATCATCATCATCGTCGTCGTCGTTGTCTCCGAAGTGGTCACGGTGGTTGTCATCATCAGTCTCATCATCATCACCGTCATTATTCATCGCCATCATCGTCGTTGTCGTCAAGGTTATCAAGGTTGTCATCGTCAGTCTCATCAACATCAACAAACGCGAAGACACCTATTAGCAACATCAGTAAGGACGAGCGCTTTGAGCTTTCCCAATTAAACAAGGGGATATGACATCGTCATCTTCTCAGCCGACAAGGGCAATGCCACAGTCATCATTGACAAAACCACGTACAATAACAAGATTCAGGACCTAATTCTAGATTTGAAGCTTTCGTGACTGCAAGGATTCATATTCTTAGGTTTTTTTCGTAGGTAAAGTCACGTAGGTAAAAAATTAAAATTAATGAAAAAAATAATTTAAATGTTTTACCTAAGTGACTTTACCGAAAACACACCTAAGAATATTCAGGACCTACTTAATGATGGTAGCTATACAAAATTAAAAGAGATCCCACCAACAGCCTCGTTACGAAAACCAACAATATCATCACCGTTTCGACATCTTTAATCGAACCAACCAAGCCGTTTTCCTTAAAACCCTCTGCTGCTAGACCACCCAGATTGTATGGCTTACCAGAAATCCATGAAGAGGGTACACCCCTTCATGCTATCGTCTCCACCATTGACTCACCCACCTACAAACTGGCCCGATTTCTGTCTAAGACCTTACAACCATTCACTGGTAAGACCACCTCAGCTGTACTTAACTCAGCTCACTTCGTATCGTTAATTAAGGACATCTCACTATCTCCAGGTGATTTGCTCGTTAGTTTCGATGTAGTCTCTTTGTTTACCAACGTTGCTGTGCCTGACACCATTGCAATCATTGAAGACTTGGTCCAACAAGGACTGAATCGCTGATGTACCGGCCCTGGTGAGACACTGCCTCACCAACATTTCCTTAACCTGGAATAGAACTTTATGTGATGCCTGACATGCAATACCCCGGCGTCTACAAACTAAGCAGTGTCTATATTCTTAGGTTTTTTTCGGTAAAGTCACGTAGGTAAAAAAATAAAATTAATAAAAGTAAAATAAAAAGGGGGCCGTTCCTGCCCCCCCCTCAACCAGTATATATACGGGGTAGTACCTCTCGGAATCTCTCATTTACTTGATAGAGCAAGCATGCTGTGACGGTTCCATCTGAAGACGGAAGCTTGTGTTGCCTCCGAAACGTCGTGATTTTTATTTTTATTTTACTTTTATTAATTAAATTTTTTTACCTACGTGACTTTACCGAAAAAACGAAGAATATTAATACTTGCAGTCACGAAAGCTTCAAATCTAGAATTAAGCTGTGTCTGCGGCAGTAGTTACATTGGGGAAACTAAGCGACATGTCTCGGACCGTGTTCATGAACGCAAGGGAGATCTTAAACACGGAAGGACCAATACCTCGGCCGTGACTGATCATTGTTTTAATGCGGTGGGCTCACACGAAATGTATTTCTCTAAGATGAAGGCACTTTGCAAGCCCACTGGCTATCAACAAAGATTCGTTCATGAAGACATCCACATATACAGACACCACAGATACAACTTCAATCGAGAAGATGGGTACAAACGGAGCAATCATTGGAAGGACGTTATCAACCAGTTTAAGTCATAACTGGCTGTGATGTTCCCATCCTACCACCTTCAGATGTTAGTTGTTATTTTCGGCTCTCCGATCTCCCATTAACATGCTAATCTGTCACATTAACATGCTAATTTCTCACATTAACATGCTAATCTCTCACATTAACATCAATAGCCCCGCCCAATTCGTTTATGACCCTTGGACTACACCCATTTTTAAACTTTAAAACAGTCTGCATCAGCAGCTGTCACCCTCTTTTTTCTTCCTGATGACGATCGCTTGTGTTGTGATCGAAACGTCGTAGTTTATTGTAATTTTTCTTGTTATTTTCTTTGAACCTATCTAAGTGACTTTACCGAAAGACCCAAAGAATATCAATTCCTGCAGTCACAAAAGCTTTAAGTCAAGATGTATTGTATTATTATTTTATTGTGTTATTATTGTGTTATTATTGTATTACTCTTTGGTTCTTTCGGTAAAATCACGGAGGTATAAAATAAAATAAATTAAATCACGACGTTTCCATTGCAACACAAGCAATCATCATCAGGTGGGAAAACCACAGCAAGAAATGTTTTTGCTCAAGTGGGAGAGAGTTGTCGTGGTAAGGGGTTATATAGGTGAGAGAGGGGGGAGGGGCAAGGGAGGGGGGGGCGTTGCGTAGACGCTAGAAGAGGGAGACGTGAAGTAGGAGGGGGGGGAGTGGGCGGCTGAGAGAGGGGGGGGGGGGTGCGCGGGGGGGGGGAGATGCAACAACAACGCCACTAAATTTCGATTTAAAGCTTTCGTGACTGCAGGGATTCATCTTCTTGGTTCTTTCGGTAAAGTCACGTAGAATGTAAATAATAAAATAATAAAAATAAAACATAATAAAATAATTCTCACGACGTTTCGGCCACAACGCAAGCAGCCGTCCTCAGGTGAAGAACAGGTCTGTCGAGCAGACAGAGTCTGACTGAAACAACCCCAGGCTTGGAGCGTCTATTAAAGCTGGGTTGGAGGTGGAAGAGCGCCATGACAAAAGAATTTGCACATCAATATGAATTTAGCATATTTAGGGGAAATGCAGATATGGGATTAGTACTACTTGTGAAATGCGTAGGAGGTGCGCGGGGGGTTTAAAGTCATATTATGCCCGTGCATTATGCAGGATTAGCAGCACTGCACCAACAGTGCCAATGAAGCCAACAACTATAATGCAGCAGCAATGCCCAAACGCCGGGGATGCAATTAACTCGGCGAAAACCTGGTTAATAACCTGAAGACGGAAGCTTGTGTTGCCTCCGAAACGTCGTGATTTTTATTTTATTTAACTTTAATTAATTTTAATTTTTTACCTACGTGACTTTACCGAAAAAACCTAAGAATATGAATCCTTGCAGTCACGAAAGCTTCAAATCTAGAATTAATAACATCCTTCCAATGATTGCTCAAAAACATGTCCTTGCTGTGGTTTTCCCCACCTGATGATGATGATTGCTTGTGTGGCAATCGAAACGTCGTGATTAAATTTAATTTATTTTCTACCTACGTGACTTTACCGAAAGAACCAAAGAGTATGGATCCCTGCAGTCACGAAAGCTTCAAATCAAGATTGTAGTATTATTGTTATATTATTGTTATTGTATTCGTATTGTATTATTGTGTTATTGTATTCGTATTGTATTATTGTGTTATTGTATTCGTATTGTATTATTATTGTGTTATTGTATTCGTATTGTATTATTATTGTGTTATTGTATTCGTATTGTATTATTGTGTTATTGTATTTGTATTGTATTATTGTGTTATTGTATTTGTATTGTATTATTGTGTTATTGTATTTGTATTGTATTATTGTGTTATTGTATTCGTATTGTATTATTGTGTTATTGTATTCGTATTGTATTATTGCCTTTCGGCGTTCTCTGGTCTGACATTGATGAGACTAGGTCCTGAAGAAGCCGGTTGTCTCTGGTGTAGGCCAATCAGTTTATCAAAGACAATGCATCAGACATGATAATAGCAAGTTCGTTTGCATGCTGCATGTTCACCACACATACCGTGTGCGGTGAATGCAGTAAAAGGTTTCTATTTGGTGTTTGCACATCTTAACAACCTGTGATATTGCCAAAAAAGGTTTAAAGCTATTCTTATTTTTTCATGTATTATTATTATACGATCATCTATTGATATTCCACAATCTATGATTATGTAAGTATTAAATAATGATAACAATAGTCCACAATGCAACAGCGGGGACGGTAATCAATTATAATACAAATAGTAAATACTACTTAAACCTATTCAAATAATAATGAATAAAATGTATTAGCATACGATGTTATAATACTATCTAGCATTATTATATGCTCAAACACTAATATTCACTATTCATAATCATTGATTACCATTATAACATCATATTATATAACACTATTATACTATAAATAGTAATCAAGAATATATACATGAATTGACAATGACACACTTGCGGCGTCAAACAGCCCGTGCGCTGCGCGGAGGGGCGCAAGGCTGCAAGGATGGAAAGATGCAAGGCTGAAAAGGCTGCAAGGATGCAAGGATGGAAGAATGGAAGGCTGCAAGGATGGAAGAATGGAAGGCTGCAAGGCTGCAAGGTTGTAAGGCTGCATGGATGCAAAGCTGCAAGGCTGCATGGATATAAGGCTGCAAGGCTGCATGGATGCAAGGATACAAAGCTGCAAGGCTGCATGGATGCAAGGCTGCAAGGTTGCAAGGCTGCAAGGCTGCATGGATGCAAAGCTGCAAGGCTGCAAGGCTGCAAGGCTGCATGGATGCAAGGATGCAAAGCTGCAAGGCTGCATGGATGCATGGATGCAAGGCTGCATGGATGCAAGGCTGCAAGGCTGCACGGCTGCATGGATGCATGGATGCAAGGCTGCATGGATGCAAAGCTGCAAGGCTGCATGGATGCAAGGATGCAAAGCTGCAAGGCTGCATGGATGCATGGATGCAAGGCTGCATGGATGCAAAGCTGCAAGGCTGCATGGATGCAAGGATGCAAAGCTGCAAGGCTGCATGGATGCATGGATGCAAGGCTGCAAGGCTGCAAGGCTGCATGGATGCAAAGCTGCAAGGCTGCAAGACTGCAAGGCTGCATGGATGCAAGGCTGCAAGGCTGCAAGGCTGCATGGATGCAGGGCTGCAAGGCTGCAAGGCTGCAAGGCTGCATGGATGCAAAGCTGCAAGGCTGCATGGATGCATGGATGCAAGGCTGCATGGATGCAAGGCTGCAAGGCTGCACGGCTGCATGGATGCATGGATGCAAGGATGCATGGATGCAAAGCTGCAAGGCTGCATGGATGCAAGGATGCAAAGCTGCAAGGCTGCATGGATGCATGGATGCAAGGCTGCATGGATGCAAAGCTGCAAGGCTGCATGGATGCAAGGATGCAAAGCTGCAAGGCTGCATGGATGCATGGATGCAAGGCTGCAAGGCTGCATGGATGCAAAGCTGCAAGGCTGCAAGACTGCAAGGCTGCATGGATGCAAGGCTGCAAGGCTGCAAGGCTGCATGGATGCAGGGATGCAAGGTTGTAAGGCTGCATGGATGCAAAGCTGCAAGGCTGCAAGACTGCAAGGCTGCATGGATGCAAGGCTGCAAGGCTGCATGGATGCAAGGCTGCAAGGTTGTAAGGCTGCATGGATGCAAGGATGCAAGGCTGCAAGGCTGCATGGATGCAAGGCTGCAAGGTTGTAAGGCTGCATGGATGCAAAGCTGCAAGGCTGCAAGACTGCAAGGCTGCATGGATGCAAGGCTGCAAGGCTGCATGGATGCAAGGCTGCAAGGCTGCAAGGCTGCATGGATGCAAAGCTGCAAGGCTGCAAGGCTGCATGGATGCAAGGATGCAAGGCTGCAAGGCTGCATGGATGCAAGGCTGCAAGGCTGCATAGGTGCAAAGCTGCAAGGCTGCAAGGCTGCAAGGCTGCATGGATGCAAGGCTGCATGGCTGCATGGATGCAAGGATGCAAGGCTGCATGGCTGCATGGATGCAAAGCTGCAAGGCTGCAAGGCTGCATGGATGCAAGGCTGCAAGGCTGCATGGCTGCAAGGATGCAAGGCTGCAAGGCTGCATGGCTGCAAGGATGCAAAGCTGCAAGGCTGCAAGGCTGCATGGATGCAAGGATGCAAGGCTGCAGGGCTGCAAGGCTGCAAAGCTGCAAGGCTGCTTGGATGCAAGGCTGCAAGGCTGCATGAATGCAAGGCTGCAAGGCTGCAAGGATGCAAGGCTGCAAGGCTGCATGGATGCAAGGCTGCAAGGCTGCAAGGCTGCATGGATGCAAAGCTGCAAGGCTGCAAGGGTGCATGGATGCAAAGCTGCAAGGCTTCATGGATGCAAGGCTGCATGGCTGCATGGATGCAAGGATGCAAGGCTGCATGGCTGCATGGATGCAAAGCTGCAAGGCTGCAAGGCTGCATGGATGCAAGGCTGCAAGGCTGCATGGCTGCAAGGATGCAAGGCTGCAAGGCTGCATGGCTGCAAGGATGCATGGCTGCAAGGATGCAAGGCTGCATGGATGCAAGGCTGCAAGGCTGCAAGGCTGCATGGCTGCAAGGATGAAAGGCTGCAAGGCTGCAAGGCTGCATGGATGCAAGGCTGCAAGGCTGCAAGGCTGCATGGCTGCAAGGATGCAAGGCTGCAAGGCTGCATGGCTGCAAGGATGCATGGCTGCAAGGATGCAAGGCTGCATGGATGCAAGGCTGCAAGGCTGCATGGATGCAAGGCTGCAAGGCTGCAAGGCTGCATGGATGCAAGGCTGCAAGGCTGCATGGATGCAAGGCTGCAAGGCTGCAAGGCTGCATGGATGCAAGGCTGCAAGGCTGCAAGGCTGCATGGCTGCAAGGATGCAAGCCTGCAAGGCTGCATGGCTGCAAGGATGCATGGCTGCAAGGATGCAAGGCTGCATGGATGCAAGGCTGCAAGGCTGCATGGATGCAAGGCTGCAAGGCTGCAAGGCTGCATGGATGCAAGGCTGCAAGGCTGCAAGGCTGCATGGATGCAAGGCTGCAAGGCTGCATGGATGCAAGGCTGCAAGGCTGCAAGGCTGCAAGGCTGCAAGGCTGCAATGATGCAAGGCTGCAAGGCTGCATGGCTGCAAGGCTGCAAGGCTGCAAGGCTGCAATGATGCAAGGCTGCAAGGCTGCATGGATGCAAGGCTGCAAGGCTGCAAGGCTGCATGGATGCAAAGCTGCAAGGCTGCAAGGGTGCATGGATGCAAAGCTGCAAGGCTTCATGGATGCAAGGCTGCATGGCTGCATGGATGCAAGGATGCAAGGCTGCATGGCTGCATGGATGCAAAGCTGCAAGGCTGCAAGGCTGCATGGATGCAAGGCTGCAAGGCTGCATGGCTGCAAGGATGCAAGGCTGCAAGGCTGCATGGCTGCAAGGATGCATGGCTGCAAGGATGCAAGGCTGCATGGATGCAAGGCTGCAAGGCTGCAAGGCTGCATGGCTGCAAGGATGAAAGGCTGCAAGGCTGCAAGGCTGCATGGATGCAAGGCTGCAAGGCTGCAAGGCTGCATGGCTGCAAGGATGCAAGGCTGCAAGGCTGCATGGCTGCAAGGCTGCATGGCTGCAAGGATGCAAGGCTGCATGGATGCAAGGCTGCAAGGCTGCATGGATGCAAGGCTGCAAGGCTGCAAGGCTGCATGGATGCAAGGCTGCAAGGCTGCATGGATGCAAGGCTGCAAGGCTGCAAGGCTGCATGGATGCAAGGCTGCAAGGCTGCAAGGCTGCATGGCTGCAAGGATGCAAGCCTGCAAGGCTGCATGGCTGCAAGGATGCATGGCTGCAAGGATGCAAGGCTGCATGGATGCAAGGCTGCAAGGCTGCATGGATGCAAGGCTGCAAGGCTGCAAGGCTGCATGGATGCAAGGCTGCAAGGCTGCAAGGCTGCATGGATGCAAGGCTGCAAGGCTGCATGGATGCAAGGCTGCAAGGCTGCAAGGCTGCAAGGCTGCAAGGCTGCAATGATGCAAGGCTGCAAGGCTGCATGGCTGCAAGGATGCAAGGCTGCAAGGCTGCAAGTCTCCTCACCGCAGATGAAGCATGACGTCTTGAGAATCTCCTCCTTCTTCTGCTTCTCGCTGCGGAGGTCGGCGAATGTGTCGATGATGACACCGAAGATGAGGTTCAGGACGATGATGATGACGACGAAGAAGAAGAGGAGGTCGTAGATGACGCGCGCGGAAAACAGCGGCTCCTGCGCGAGTGGACAGACGCACGCACACACTGTCGTCACAGTGTTCGACCCGCGACGCTGACGCCGCACGGTGACCGCTCAGGAACCACGGACAAACGAGAAGACGCCAAGCGGTGGCGGCGAGCCGCCGCTACCAACAATTGCCCAAGCTCTGCAATACTCTATATATATATGTGTGTGTCAGGGATACGATGACGGACAGTGGTGGTGGCGGTGGCGGCTACACTGCCGCACGTGGGTTGTCTGCAGTGATCCGGCGCCGTGTAGCGGCAGCAGCAGCGAGGGTTGATGGATCACCACACACACACAGATGTTGTTGCCAAACTCCCCTTCCCATGGGCGTCGCCAGGAGAAGGTGGCACAGCAAATACGTGGGCTCCGCCTGTACCACCTGCATGGGGATCGAGCGTTTCCCCCTCACGCGCGTTGTTTTTTTTTCGTCTCTCGGGGCGCTCCGGTTTCCTCCCGACTTGTAAACGCTCATTGGCTGGCCGATAACAACCTCCGTGTGTAGAGGACCGCAGAGCTTGGGAAATTCCCGCAGGCTCATCGCGTGGCTGCCTTCCTCGCGCGCGGCGAGTTGACGCTCTCCGTCTGCAAAGGGCGAGCGATTACCGGGCGCCTCCCCAGGCGAAATGATCATCGTTCATTATTCGATGCAACGTGACCGAAGTTGATGGTGAACACAAATAATGGTGCTCCGGAAAGGGCTGGAAACATGACGGTTGGGTAGAACATGTAGTTGCGTTCACATCGCTGTCAACCCCTTATCAGTAACTACCTGATTACAGACCAATGCAGACCTTCTTGCTCACCCCGTGGTGCTCTTATAAATCTCAATGTTCATCCTATACACTACACTATACACTATACTACTAAATACTACACTACTATACTATACACGACTATACTACACTATACACTGTATACTACACTACTATACACTACACTATTCACTACTATACACTACACTACTATACACTACACTATACACTACACTATACACTACTATACACTACACTATACACTACACTATACTATACACTATATACTACACTACTATACTATACACAACACTACTATACTATACACTACACTATATACTACACTACTATACACTACACTATACACTATACTATACATTATATACTACACTACTATACTATACTATACACAACACTACTATACTATACACTACACTGTATACTACACTACGATACACTATATACTACACTACTATACACTACACTACTATATACTACACTACTATACACTACACTACTATATACTAGACTACTATACACTGCACAATACACTACACTATACTATACACTATATACTACACTACTATACTATACACAACACTACTATACTATACACTACACTATATACTACACTACTATACACTATATACTACACTACTATACACTACACTACTATACACTACACTATACACTACACTATACTATACACTATATACTACACTACTATACTATACACAACACTATTATACTATACACTACACTATATACTACACTACTATACACTATATACTACACTACTATACACTACACTACTATACACTACACTATACACTACATACCTGTCAACCCCTTATCAGTGCCTACCTTATTACAGACCAATCTGGACCTTATTGGTCACCGCGTGCCTTTAAAAATCTCACCGCTCATCCGACAAAGTCCCATCACAAGGGGAGAAACACAAACAGACGAAAAAAATGTTGCCCGCATTGAAACGGCCGTACGCCGTACGGACCCGAAAACTCAATTTCCTCGTACAAGAATACGGGGTAAACCGTATAGGTTGACACGGTACGCGTCTATGCAGAGAGCGATTGACACTTGAAAAACATTTTAGAGTTTTTGGGCCCTGGCGCCTAACCCTTGACTAAGTCCGTGTGGAATGGTGGCTCAGGATCAGAGCGCTGAGCTAGCAACACTGAAATTCTGGGTTCGAATCCGGGTCCAAGCCGCCTCTGTCTAAATGTGTTTGTACGTGCAGCAAGGTGACGATTTCAATATGGTCCCCAATGGCATACTTGGAGACTCATCGACTTACACAGAGACCCATAGACTTACACAGAGACCCATATACTGATACAGAGACCCATATACTGATACAGAGACCCATATACTGATACAGCGACCCATAGACTTACACAGAAACCCATAGACTTACACAGAGACCCATAGACTTACACAGAGACCCACAGACTTACACAGAGACCCACAGACTTACACAGAAACCCATAGACTTACACAGAGATCCACAGACTTACACAGAGACCCACATACTTACACAGAGACCCATAGACTTACACAAAGACCCACAGACTTACACAGAGACCCACAGACTTACACAGAAACCCATAGACGTACACAGAGATCCACAGACTTACACAGAGACCCACAGACTTACACAGAGACCCATAGACTTACACAAAGACCAACATACTTACACAGAGACCCACAGACTTACACAGAGACCCATAGACGTATAGAGACCGACAGGCGTACACAGAGACCCACAGACTTACACAGAGACCCATACACTTACACAGAGACCAACAGACTTACACAGAGACCCATAGACTTACACAAAGACCAACAGACTTACACAGAGACCCACAGACTTACACAGAGACCCATAGGCGTATAGAGACCGACAGGCATACACAGAGACCCACAGTCTTACACAGAGATCCACAGACTTACACAGAGACCCATAGACTTACACAAAGACCCACAGACTTACACAGAGATCCACATACTTACACAGAGACCCACAGACTTACACAGAAACCCAGAGACTTACACAGAGACCCATAAACTTACACAGAGACCCACAGACTTACACAGAGACCCACAAACTTACACAGAGACCCATAGACTTACACAGAAACCCACAGACTTACACAGAGACCCATAAACTTACACAGAGACTTATATACTTACACAGAGATCCACAGACTTACACAGAAACCCATAGACTTACACAGAGATTCACAGACTTACACAGAGACCCACAGACTTACACAGAGACCCATAGACTTACACAGAGACCCACAGACTTACACAGAGACCCATAGACTTACACAGAGACCCACAGACTTACACAGAGACCCATAGATTTACACAGAGACCCACATACATACACAGAGACCCATAGATTTACACAGAGACCCACATACTTACATAGACTCCAAATATAGAACAACGGGCAATCGGCACGACGGAAAGTAATTACAGATAGTCCCCGAGTGACAACGATAGTCCCCGAGTTACGATGGTAATCTCCGAGTTACGACGATAGTCCCCGAGTTACGATGACAGTCCCCGAGTTACAATCGTAGTCCCCGAGTTACGACGACAGTCACCGAGTTACGATGACAGTCCCCGAGTTACAATCGTAGTCCCGAGTTACGACGACAGTCACCGAGTTACGATGACAGTCCCCGAGTTACAATCGTAGTCCCCGAGTTACGACGACAGTCCCCGAGTTACGATGATAGTCCCCTAGTTACGATGGTCCGACTTACGATATTTCGATCTTACGATGACGATAGCGAAACGACAAAATTACCATCGACAACCTAAACATCGTTCAAGTATGCAGACGACGGACAGAATCTTGGTGAGTACAGTACAATATGATATGTTACGATACATTCAATGCATGTGTGATACGTAGCTTTAGCGATTTCATTTTAGGGTTACGACGATTAGGATACGTTCAATGCAAGTTAAAAGTTTTTATATCAGATAGGATTGTTTCCTGAAAAATACTTTCTATTAAATTGCAGTTCATATAGGTAGGCTAAGAATTTACCTTGTTTTTTTACTTTACATGATACTGTGCAATACAGTATTGTAATTCATAAATACATACAGTATATAGTTTATACAATACGCTACTGTAAATTGCTCTGTTTTGCTAAATTATCATCATTCTGTAAGACTCCTGGGGGGTAGGCTAGGCCATCTTCGACTTACGATATTTTCCACTTACGATGGGGGTCGTCGAAACGCATCCCCATCGTAAGCAGAGGACTGCCTGTAAATGAAAACAAGCGTCTCGAATTAACACCGCCTTCTCCGGCGCTCGAGGTCAAGTCCTCACACTCGGCACGTACAGAGACGAGAAGAACAAAATATGAAAATATATATTCTTACCCCCCCCACCGCCCTCCCTCCCACCCACCGGCGGGTCTGACAGGGACTTTAAGAAGCTGTTATTTGCTCGGAGCACCATAAATAAATTTAATTGGCCTCGAAGCAATTTGCGCAGAGGCGACCGATCGCTCGCGACGGGGTCATTCCAACATCCGCCCCGGTTTGTTCTCTGTAAATAAACGGGAGATAGCGCTGGGCTGACGGGCTTGGTGGGCGGTGCGGCGCCGAGAGGGGAGAGAGAGAGAAAGAAAGAGAGAGACAGAGAGAGAGAGAGCCAGCCGTCTTCGCTTATCTCCGCGCCGAAGCCGTGTGAAGGGCGCAGACCGCGCCATCAAGCACGAACGCGCGACCTCCAATGCCGTCGAACGGCGACGCCGGTGAACGCATAAAACACATTTTCCCGTCGACCTTCCTCTCAAAGTCTCCCCTGTTCGTGTGGGGAGAGAGATAGCGAGCGAGCGAGCGAGAGAGTGCCCGTGGGAGAGCGAGAGAGTGAGCGAGAGAGTGAGCGAGCGAGAGGGTGAGCGAGAGAGTGAGCGAGAGGTGCGGGTTTACATAAAGCAAGTTTTATTTTTTACAAAATGATGAACGAAGCAAAGTGCCGACTACATCGAGCATCTTCTTGTTTCCACTGATCGTAAAAAGAGAGACAGAGCATTTCGGAAGAAGGGGAGGATTATTTGACACGTGGACATTTCCTAACGCCGCCCCCCCCCCCCCCCGCTTTTCAAGATGCAGGTTTCTCGTATTCGAGAGCGCGCGTGACCTCACGCAGAGAGGCCTCTTAACCCTTTTCCCGGTCCGGTG